TCACTCACTCTCACTCTCTCACTCGCTGATTCACTCTCACTCGCTGATTCACTCACTCTCATTCACTGACTCACTCTCACTGACTCATTCACTCACTCTCATTCACTCACTCACTCACTCTCATTCACTCACTCACTCTCTCACTCTCACTCACTCTCTCACTCTTATTCACTCACTCACTCTCACTCACTCACACTCACTGACTCATTCACTCACTCACTCTCATTCACAAAAGAAAAAAAAAAATCATAGTGCCCAACCAAGGGTTTTCCACCAATTTGCACCATTTGACATAAGCCATTCAAGTATATAAAAACTCACTGCCACTGAGTCGCTTATGGGAATAGAAAGCCTCATCTTTCTCCCACTGAACAGCTGGTGCGTTTGAACCACTAACCTTGCAGCTAGCAGCCTAACAACTCACTCCACTACCCTAATTTTACACTCACAATAACTCGTTAGCAGCTTTTAGTAACTTTAATAACTCAAACCTGGCGTGCACCCATACAAACTATATGCATCTATTTCCACAGAGCAGGCCCCTGTTTCTGAGTGACCTACTCCACTGTTTTATATTGGCCACAATGGCCAATGTGACTTTACAAATATCAGACCATATGTACTCATATGTACTTATTTTTGATATGAAGTAAATCTTATTTCATGTATGACTCAAGTCAGTAATTTATTCTAGATTTCCTTTTCAAAAACTGTATAGGTCAGTTTCCTACACATACTATGAAGGCATAAAAGGTTCACTTGTCTTTTTCTTTGCTTTCTTTTTTTTTTTAATGGGAGGAAACAATGCCATCAGCTTATGTTTATTGACAAAAAGAAAACGCTTAGACTGAGTCTGTGCAGTGGCCCAGTGAGCTAAGTGGTGGCATACAAACTTGTGATGGGTTTTACAGTCAAGGTGTCACTGAGCCTTGCCTTTGTGCAGCCGGAACCAGGCAACAGTACTATTGTCTAAAAAGTAAATGCAGCCTCGCTATTCACTTCTTGACATGCCCCTGCGGTTTCTGAGATTGTAACTCTTTTTTTTTTTTCTTTCAGCTTGAGATGTGCTGAGCAAGTTCTTCCCCTTTTATTTTTTATTTTTATTTTTTTTAACATTTTATTAGGGGCTCATACAACTGTTATCCCAATCCATACACACATCAATTGTG